AGGCTTCCTTCATGTAAATATATAATTCCTTATTTTAATTAAATTTTATTTGGTTTATATGCTTCTGACAGGTTTTATGAGATGCACTTAGCTATTGTATCTCGGATGGGTTGATGGCAGGCGGGCTGGCTGACGCTCGACGGTGGCTGGCACAGGAACAGGCAGGAAATGGCCCCGCTTTCCTTATTGCTCCAAACAGGATGTCGGCGTGTAAACTGTTGATATAGGATGCCGGGAGCACTCCAAGGGGCTGGCGTCGGTCCAGGGAGATTAAGGGGGGGATACAGAAAGAGAGGGAAGGAGTGAGCAGGTTATTGTACTCTTATACACAGATATATACTGCCAAAGTTCAAAATGCATTATCACACATAAACTGTTTAGCTTGCACAGTCCAACAAATGAATCCGTTTTTGTTCTCGACCGCTAGAACAGGATGTGAAGCATTTCATTTTGCACTTCTGGTGTCAAATATGTGTGTCTGTTTTCGTAATTGCCAGCTAATCAGTTCGAAATTGCCCACAGGCATATCTAGAGACCAGAAACTTTAGCAAATGCATTGCAATACCCAGCCAAGCATCCCAAAATCAAAGCAGCAAGCAGTTTTACACGACTCAAATTATTCTTGGAAAATTGTTTTATAGATAGAAATTTGATTGTGCTTCAGAATAGGAAAATTTTTTAGGTGAAATAAGGTGATGGGGTGCTTGACAGTTGTCAGAGATAAAGTTAATGACTGGAGTGTGTGTCCAAGCGTTAGCTCAGCATTACACAATATAGCCCACCCTCTAATCTTTTCTCAATAGTAAATGGATGGCCGGCTGCCAGGGCTGCCGACGCCGCACGCTCTGAAACAGTAACTGATGCAATGACCCTCTCCGTCCTCCCTTTTCCTGACCAGCCCTGCCTGTCGTTCTCGATCTGGGATTATCACCTCCTTCGGTTTCCTTCAGGGCAAATGAACAACCATCTCGACACTTTCATTTAAACCTGCGAGCGGCCTGAACAATCCTCGCAAAAGCAGCGGGAGTCAACAAACAGAGCCCTGTTGTTTTACAGCTGCGATGATGTCATGATATCAGAGGAGCGCACATGACTTCCATCTAAACGGGAGGGCTTGCGCTTGCTAATGCAAACTAGACAACTCATTGGAGCGCACACATCATGCTCGTAACTCGCTCAAAGGATCACGCTCTCCTACCGTTAGCGAACGTGCCCTCGAGCCGCTTATGGAAACTTGCGCTCACACCCAGCAAAACCAAATCCAAATGCTGGATGTGCTCAAGACCTGTTATCGATTATACCTCTCCTGTAGTCTAACACTCCTCTAGCAGTGGTAGTCTGGAAATGGACGCTTAGTTTTGTTTCAGATGGGCATCCCGGCCCGCAGGTTTTTTAGACTCCCGCTGCTGGTTTTGGCTCTTTTTGGAGATGTCAAGTTTTCCACTGTGAACTATTTATTTGACATATTTAAGACTCAGGGTGTGCCTGTGCCTGTGGGCAGACGTTCTTAAAAATGCCACATAAAGCTAACCAAGTCAACACAAAATCAAAATTGACCCTATTACTTTCTTGGTCTGAATGTGCATGATTGATCAGTGCATGTTATTCTAAAGGCTAAGAATTGAATATGTTTGCAAGTTTAAAAACTTGTAAAAACACCCGCTTGACACCATCCAATAAATTAATCTTCTTATCGACCTCAAACTTTTGAACAGTAGTGTCATTTCTTGATGTTAGGAAAATGCACTAATGCTTGTACTGTCAGTTGGTGATTTAATCAACTCACAAATATCTTCTATCATTGTTTTCTTCTTAATTCTAGGTAAGGGAGTCGATCCCAACAGGCCTTTGTGTCGGAAAGCTAAGGACCTCAGGAAAGAGAGACGACTTCAAAAGGAGCAACAGAAGCAGCAAGAAGCAGTGTCTTCCACTGTGAATCCCGCCCCATCAAAATCTTCATCTAATCAACCCAAATCATTGGAGGAGTTCATTACAGAGTCCTTACCCAGTGACCCTCTGCACCGTTTGGAGGTAACACATCAACTTTGCTTGTATGTATTATTTCTTTAAATAATGAAACGGGCCAAAGCAAGAGAGGATGTACCAATCAAAACTGACTGATCTCGAAGGTGTATCTATCATACCCAGTGGTTTGAGTCTCCTGGGTAAATATTCCAAGCACAAACAATCCTCTCCTGCTTTTGCTGCGATTGCTTGGGTGAAGTCAGCATGGGTAAACAGCCAACGTTTTTGCTTTTGTAAGCAAGTCGGTATGAAAGACCCCAAACGTCATTGTCCCTGGAGACGGCACTGGTCTGGTTCATCCCTCAATTAGCTTGTCGACTGGATTGATTTGATTGACTTCAACATGTCATTCAATTATCTTAAGTGGATAGCAGTCAATGTCACTGTCATCTGAACAAGGTTAGTGGTTCACCTTAGAAACAATACATGAGAAAATCCAGTCTTCATGGCCAGCACTAAAAGCAGCTCTTGTGTACAAAAACTCTTTTGTTTCATCATGAACCTTTGCATACAAACACTTTGTGCATTTATTTATTCAAAAATGTAATGTGCGTGACAGACCCTTGTGTTGAAATCTAAACCGTCAGTGTAGTTTGACGTTAGTTAAGCTCTGTCCTTGTAGTCTGTTTGTTGCCACTTATCTCTCTGGCGCACAGTGAAAATGGATGCGTTTAAAGCAGTGTGTGGAGTATCACAGGTTTCCTTTCCAGACCTCATTTTATCACTTGTGAAATGGGGGTGTTAAGGCTAATTTCTGTAAATCTCAGTTGTGGGGTCATTAAGCCCTCGGAGACACCCAGCCTAATGAGATGTTTACATACAGCCAATCAGACATGTGTGGAGTTATAATACACACACTGTAAGTGAAGCATTCATTGTTTGACAGGGAAAAGATTACTTTAAGAAGACCTTGGCACATTTTACATCTTTGGCTTTTGATGCTGAGTTCATTAAATGAATGTTCTGGGTTCAGTACATATTTAAAGAATAGTTTACCCAAAAATGAAAAACAGAGAATTGTTTTCTTTCTTACATGACACAAAAAAGGAGATCTGAGCAATGCTTTTCCATGAGTTAATAAAAGTACTCCAAATCACTTTAATGCTATATTCCAAGTTTTCTGAAGTCATTTAATTCATTGTTGACTGATATTCCTCCTCTCTTCCTTTACTTTCATTGTATGCAAAACTTCAGCGGATTTGCTTGAGAGATTGGATATAATTTTACACATGCAAATTTAGTGAGTCAGTAGTTAGTGTGTTTTTCTTGTAGCAATACATGATCAAATGTTTGTTTTTTAAAGAAATCAATTTTTTTTTCAGCAAGGATTCATTAAATTGTTCAAAAGCGACTGTAACAGCATTTGTAATCTTACAGAAGATTTCTGTTTCAATTAAATGCTATTTTTGTAAACTCTTTTCAGCAAAGAATCCTGAAAAAATGTTGACAAACATATTAAGCAGCACAACTGTTTTCAACATTGATGATAATAAGAAATGAGCAGCAAATCAGCATATAAAAATAATTTCTGAAGGATCATGTGACACTGAAGACTGGAGTAATGATGCTGAAAATTCAGCTTTGCATCACTAGAATAAATTACATTTTAAAATATTTTCCAATAGAAAACTTTTATTTTAAAATGTTATAATATTTCACAATATTACTGTTTTTGCTGTATTTTTTGATAAATACATGCATAAATGCAGCCTTACAGGCTCCAAACTTTGTACAGTTCTGTATTGTTAGAACTTGATATATTTTAATGTTGCATTGCCTGTTTACTGTAGCCTTGATTTTGAAAAAAAAAGAGTGAAAATTCAAAAAGATTTTCTGTTGTAATCCTTTTTTTGCTGCAAGTGCTTTTTGCTCTAGGTTAACTTGTATTAAACCCCAGAACATTAAAGTATATCTGTGTTTTCTAAAGATTAATTATGATAGAATATGGTTATCAAATCGCCCAACTACACCTGCAGAGGGCAGTAGAGGCACATCATAACTTTTTCCCACATTGAATATTTTGTCAAGTACAAATTTGTAGAGTTTGCTTCTACCCTCTTTCACCCCCTGCATAATTTGAAATCTCGGAGCTGTTTTGAAAGCGCTTCGCTTTCTTTGTCTTGGTTACTCCTCGCACACTTAATCAAATGTCTGCATCTCGAGAATCGCTCTGCAGATTAAAAGACTCTACTTATGTTTATCTGAAACAAAAGTCGCAAATATCTTCATTAACTTGGCCAAGCAATAATAAGAGATGTCCAGTGAGGGCCAAATAAAATAAAACTGAAGCTAAGTCTCCCAGTCATGCTCTTCTGGGGAACTTGTGTGAACCATAAGCACCTCGTCCAATGAAAATGTCTCTGTGAGAGGTCCTTTAATTAGGAACAGCTTCGCCAGTCAATTAAATGTTTTTGGAGGATTGAATTTTGATTTGCCGCCTCACTTCTGAGGCTAGTTTGTCCTTGTGCAAACACCGATGATCCTGTTAGATGTCAAGCTCAGTTTCACTAATCAAACATAACATCTGATCCCACACAGTTCGCTTTAAACTGATGTCAGACTTTTACACCCTTATACAGCAAGTTAAATGAGGCTTAGTCTCGCTTTGTCTTCAGAGTGTGTAACAGAATGACTTGACTGTCATGTATTTATTTTAATAGTTGTTGTGACCTGCATTTTGTAAATGTATATACTTGCTTATTTTAATTATTCACCCTCGTGTTGTTCCACTCCTATATGAGACTCAATCATAAGTCAAGAAATCAAGAATCAAAGTTTGTTATTATTAATAACCTGATGTAATGCATCTTGTCCTGCCAACCTTCATGTTTTGGGCTACTTCAAATCACCTATTCATTTATATATATATATATATATATATATATATATATATCTCC